ATGTCTCACTGGCTTTCCGTCTCTGCCTGTTTCACAGCAGGGGCAGACATTGCAGTTTGCTTCGTTATAAACTAAACAAACGCTACACTTCCATGGTCCTGCTGCTGCTGCTGCTGTTGCTGCTGTTGCTGCTGCTGCTGCTGCAGTTCCTGCTGCTGCTCCTATTGCTGCTGCTGTTCCTGCTGCTGCTCCTATTGCGGCTGCTTCTGCTGCTGGTGGTGGTGGCGGTGGTGGTGGTGGTGGTGGTTCTTCTGCTGCTGCTGCTGCTGCTGGTTCTGCTGCTGCTGCTGCTGCTGCTGGTTCCGCTGCTGCTGCTGCTGCTGCTGCTGCTGCTGTGGGGCCGTCTGCTGCTGCAGCAAGAGAAGGAAACGGTGCTTCTGCTGCTGCGCCGTTTGTGGTGGCTTCGTAGCCCGTAGCTAGTGAGTTGCTGCACTCCATTTTGCTGCTGCTGCTGCTGCTGTTGCTGCTGCTGCTGCTGTTGCTGCTGCTGCTGCTGCTGCTGCTGTTGCTGCTGCTGTTGCTGCTGGTAAGGCCCCGGCCCCTTAGTGCCAAAAGAACGAGTCAATGTCTTTGCATGCAGCTAAAGATGCTGCTGCTGCTGCTGCTGCTGCTGCTGCAGTGCTGCTGCTGCTGCTGCTGCTGCTGCTGCACTGCTGCTGCTGCAGCCCCGGGTGTATCTGCTGCTGCTGGGTTCTGCTGCAGCAGCAAACGAAAGACAATGGCTTTTCTAGGAGGTGGTGATGGGGGCCCCCGAGGACAGCACTCGAAACTTGAGGTCTTCTTTTCAGAGTTTGCTGCTGCTGCTGCTGCTGCTGCTGCTGCTGTTGCTGCTGCTGCTGCTGCTGCTGCTGCTGCTGCTGCAGAGGAGAAAGAACAGTGTGCGGTGTATGTACACCTCATATAGCAACAAACAAACACAAGAAAAGCAGCGAAGTCACAAATGTAATAGGAAGCCCTTCTGCTGCTGCTGCTGCTGCTGCCGCTGCTGCTGCTGCTGCTGCTGCTGCTGCTGCTGCTGCCCCGGCTACTGCTGCTGCTGCTGCTGCTGCTGCTGCGGGGTAGGTAGCATCACAACAAATATATTAAACCAAAATAAATAAATAAATAAATAAAATAAATTAATAAAAAAATAAAAATAAAAAATAAAAATTTAATTCCTAGATGGCTGCCTTGGCCACAAACCCTAAACCCTCAACATACACTACACCGACCCCCTAAACCCTAAACCCTAAACCCTAAACCCTAAACCCTAAACCCTAAACCCTAAACCCTAATACGCGGTGAACGTTAAACCCCAATAAACCATAAGCACTACTAACCATAAACCCTAGTAAGCCATAGTAAACCCTAATAAACCCTAAGCCCTCATAAACCCTAGTAAACCCTAATAAACCCTAAACCCTAATAAGCTCTAAACCCTGATAAACCCTAAACCCTCATAAACCCTAGTAAACCCTAATAAACCCTAAACACTAATAAACCCTAGTAAACCCTAAACCCTAATTAACCCTAAACCCTAGGCAACCCCAAACCCTGATATGCCCTAATAAACCCTAAACCCTCATAAACCCTAAACCCTCATAAACCCTAAACCCTCTGTCATCGGTAAACAGGTGGGGTTGTGTGTTTCTTTTTTGTGTTTTGTCTTCTCTTGTTTCACGGTTTAGGGTTTAGGGTTTGTTGCTGCTACGCCTTTTATACGAGGGTTTAGGGTTTAGGGTTTGTTGTTGCTAAATTTTTTATACGAGGGTTTAGGGTTTAGGGTTTGCTACTACTACTTTTGTGGTTTCTGTTTAGGGTTTAGGGTTTAGGGTTGAGGGTTTAGGGTTGTAAGTATAAATATAAATATAAATATAAATATAAATATAAATATAAATATAAATATAAATATAAATATAAA